AGAAATATATTCAAATCAGACGCTTGTAAACAACCATCTCCCCATTGTCTAATCTTGGGATATCTTGTTTTTTTTTTTTTTTTGAGATTCAATGAAAACCCTTCCTTTCTTGGCCCTGTCTTGAAGTAAAACTCCAGAAAGAGTCATTTTCAAGAATCAAATATGGTGCAAAGAAAGGTTCCTGATAAGCTTGGGATCCACCAAGCTGATCATCTTCATCATCATTCAAGAAAGGTCAATAACAAAGGAATGCTTAGCCTAGAAGCGTCAAATTTGCATCAACACCAAAATTTGAAAAGCAGCAGAGGAACTGACCTGAAGAAGAAGATGATGAAGAAGAAGAAATCTGGCAAACCAAAGCTTTCTGAGCTTGAAAGCATGCGGCCGAAGACGCACTTGGGGGCTTCTTCGAGCTCGACCCCGAATTACATGAAGTCTACCAGCAGTTCAGATGCAAGGAAAGATAAGTGTGAGGTGAGTTCTAGAAGCCCTCAATCTGTTTCTTCTTCTAAGTGCAAAAACACCACAAAAATCTCGAAGTCAGGTGGCCATAACCCTTCAAGACCTGGTTTAACTAGCAGTAAGGTGACTACAAGTTTGAAACTTGTGAGGGCTTTGACAAAAGCTCCTAGTTTTAAACCGGCTAGGGTTTCTTCTTCCAAGAAATGTCCTCAGGTTGTCCTCCGCGAGAGTGGTTTAGATGTACAGAGAGCTACTTGCTCTTCGACATTGAAGGATTCGAAGTTCCCGTGTTACCTGGAACTTAATCCTGGCGACACTACTTCTGCGGTGAAGGTCTGCCCTTATACTTACTGCTCTCTCAACGGTCATCACCATCTTCAATTACCTCCGTTGAAGAGCTTCTTGTCAGCAAGGAGACTGTCTATGAAAGCAAATAGGAACTTGAGAAAAGGATGTTCTTCTCCCTGTCCAGCAAGGCCCACTGGGGTGAGCCTTGCCGAAGATGTTCCAAATTGGCAACAAGAGAAATTGGACTTTACCATTGAAATCTTCTGCAAAGAAGGGGCAGAAACGGCAAAGAATTGCAGCTTGGACAGTTCACCTCAAATTGGTCCTGCTGAGCCTACCCATTGCTTCAATGGTGCTCAGGAAGAGGTGGAAGAGAAGGGAGATCTCTTCCCTGTAATAGATTATTCAAGTGCAGGAGAATCGGATATGGACTGGGAGGGGGTAGTTGAATCGACCAATCTCATCGAAGAACTTGATCTTGAAGTGGATTGTTTAGATGAGAAGGTCTGTGATGTTATAAAAGAACCCATCTCACTATTGAAGGCGGAACACAAAGCCAGTTGCAGCTCTGATGATTTTGTTGCAGAAAAGATGGAGCAAGAATCATTTGATGAAGAAAGTGTGACCTCCGAAGCATGTTCTTTAAGTGATGAAGATTCAAATTCCTCCATTTCTTGCTTGGGGTCCGATTTCAAAGGTTGTGATAATCAACCAGCCACCCATAATGAAGATGAGAAAGAAACCACTCAAACACGCCTCCTTGTTTCGGATGAGCTGACAGAAGAAGAAATCTGCAAGGATTTTTCAGTCCCTTACGAGGAGAAAGTGATACTC